AAGCCGATCATGCAACAGGACAATGAAGAAAAACACACAAATAAATCTATGACAGAATGCCTCTAAAGAAGTAATTCAGAATTTGGAATGGACAAGTCAAATTCTAGGCCTAAATCCCACAGAGATGATGTGTCAGGACCTAAAGAGGGCTGTACACACAAGAAAGCCTTTAAACATCACAGAGATGGTGCAACTCTATAAGAAAGAGTGGGCTAGAATTCCCCCCAGGCGATGTGAGACAGATCAGCTATTACAGGAAACATTTAATTCAAGTTCCTGCTTCTAAAGGGGTGTCACAAGTTACTGGAGTGCACTTACATTAATTGTCACACAAAGATACTGAATTTTTAACATAAATAATGACAAAGTAGGTTTTTTCTGTGTTATTTGTTGAATAAAGTTGGTATTACCTACTGGATCATTAGCACTTGATGAGGATTTGGTAAAGATCAAATATGTCTAAATAAGTTAAACCATAAAATCATAAGGGGGTGTACTTACTTTTTCACCACACATATACAGTATAAGCTACAGTACATCCATCAAAGTCCTTTGACACCGAACCTTTCAGAGTATTCCCTTACTAATAAGTGCTAGCAGAGTCTTGATATTTATTTTATTATAATCATTTAAAGGCTGTAAATTGAATGAATTCACATTTCAGATATTCATGAATCATGCATGTTGGGATTCTAAAGTAACGAACTGGGCTGTAAAGCTTTTGGCACAGTACAAACATAGTTTCCAAAAAAACTCCATTTTGTTTGAAAAACCTATACTGTATGTACTGTGGTCCAAATGAGGTATTAATTTTAAAACAGAAAAGGCCTTAAACAAGAAGTGCTCTTGAGAGTAATTTCAAAAGGTGTGATATCCATCTTAAATTTAATGAAAATGTACCTTTTGGAATCAAGGTGTTTTTTTTTATTCTTATATTACTTCCTAGTAGTCTTGTGCCTGTAAACTTTCACTTTCAGAAAATGAGAGCAAAATGTGTTTGGGAACAAAAAAAGCTTTGAAATTCACCCCATAGTCAAGTCCCAAGTGAGATGTTTGAATTACGCTTGTCAGAATGTACCCACTCTTGCATTATAACAAATAATAATTGTAGCCAGCAGCATATATTGAAGGAGAAAACCATTTAATATCAGAGTGTAGGATTCTATTTACCAGCTAGTGAAAGAATGAAATGCTAGGGACAGGATACAGTATGTGTTTCTGCTTCCTACAGAAAACACCCTAGAGCTTCTTTTAATGGAAAGGCAGCATTTGCGTATTGACCCCATTGATTACTGGGAAGGTTCCACTTTTAAGAACTCAGGCATCATGATGAAGTTGTATGTCATTTGTTTTAGGCACAGTTGCTGTAAATTCACACTGACACAAAAGGAAAGCAAAAAAACATTTGGTTATAGGAGTATCAAATAAACTGATTTTAAAAGAATAATGTTAGGTTAATAAATCACAATAGCATTAGAGAAACAAAAATAATGTTTTGTCCGGACACACAAAGAACAAACTAGAACAGAACAGTACGCAGAAATGCCCCCAGTATAGTGATGGGGACACTATACTGTAAACAGGTGCTGTCCTTCTGATGAGACATAAAACCAAGGTCCTGACTCTCTGTGGTCATTAAAAATCCCACGGTGTTTCTCAAAAAGAGTAGGGGTGTAACCCTGGCATCCTGGCCAAATTTCCCATTGGCCCTTACCAATCATGGCCTCCTAATAATCCCCATTTATGAATTGGCTTCATTACTCTGCTCTCCTCCCCACTAATAGCTGATGTGTGGTGAGCGTTCTGGCGCACTATGGCTGCCATCACATAGGTGGATGCAGCACATTGGTGGTGGTGGAGTGGAGTCCCCATTACCTATAAAGCGCTTTGAGTGGAGTGTCCAGAAAAGCACTATATAAGTGTAAGCAATTATTATTATTATTATAGATGCATCAAAAGCGGAGATGTATGGCAATGACGCAAAACATCATGTTTGGAAAAAACCAAACACTGCCTGTGACCATAAGAACCCAATACCAACCACCGAGTCTGGTGGTGAAGGGATGGTGTTTTGGTCCTGATTTGCTGCCTTTGGACCTGGATGCCTTTGTATCATTGAGTCTTCTATATTATTATCTGTGTATTTCCCACTTGTTTGTGTTTCACTGTTGATTGTGAAGAAGACTTTTGGATTGAGTTGAGCAAATCCTTTGAGGTTTTGGAATACTTTAATTAGGTCTGATTATATGTCTGTTCAAGACTTTAAATGACAGTTCTTTTAGGCTGCATGAAACAACAATATAATTGGCATCATTCTTCCTTGTCATATTTCCTGCTCTCTTTCTCAGGATTGAGAAGTATTTTCTGATCCAGATGTGTGTGCAATGTTAATCTGCTCTCTGTGTAACCAACCCCTAATCAAAATTATGATTTGTTTTCCCAAAAGATCAAAGATGTGTAACAATGGATTTAATTAACATGACACCTAATATAAATATGCTGGTAGGCTTGAATTATATAAGAATATAAAGTGAGTGCGTGAATGTACAGGCAAGAATGTAGAATATAAATAATATAAGCCTTAAAACAGATAAAAAGCAATTGCATTTTAAATTGCATCAAATTTATTGTTTTGCTGCTAAATCCTGGGAAAGAATATAAGATTGGTTTCTGTTGCTTTATTGTTATGTATTTTGGCCTTAAAGTTTAACTGCAATAATCTAAGACTAGGTTAAGATATACTGCAGCGCTGATATGGTTTAATGAGTTAGTTGGAACTGAAATAGAACTTGATAACAGGGAACTGAGGTTTCTGTTTGCTTCCTTCTGTAAGAAGAGTGATACATGTATATATATAATTTGAGCATTGCCTTTCAGAAAATGTGGACAAGAATACTCCTTTACTCCTTCTAAATTTAGAAGCAGCTATTGTTACAATGTCTTTTTACATGTTAGTGAAAACAAATGCATCCTGTTTTATGCTTTGCTTAATTAAAAATCCAAATTATTGAATAAATGAAGAATACGGTTTCACACTTGGCTTTCAGAATACAAGATTATTAATTTATCGGTAAAAATTATATCCAAAAAAATTTCCAGTGAGCTACAATTATCCTCTTTCCCTTGGACATGTTATGACACTATGACTTGTAGGAAGGTTAAATGTAAAGTGCATTTTAAAATTATTACAGAGCCATAGAAGCCAGCATAAATGCCCAAAGTACAGATGAATGGCTATTGACATTCAGTGTATTAAGACAACTGAACCCAGGAAAACCTAGCTGGCCAGGTTTGGTGCTATGCACAGTACCTGGCAAAAGAAAGTTAATGGACAGTTTTTCTATTGTGAACTTAAGACATTATTTTAAAATGTGAAACAGAGTGCTTACAGTCTTAATATTTCTACATTTTTTGTGTAAAGCGTTAAGTGTCCATTATTATTATTTATCGATTTTTGGAATATGAACAACTTTGCATTGTTACAATTTAAATGTGTAACCATAGTGAAGGTCTCCTTTTAGATATTTAAATTGAAGCTTAACTTCCTCTCAAGACAGCCTTCAAACTTTTGATTAATGTAATTAGTTATGTGATAACATTAATTAAAACTGTAAATTCAATTCGTGAATGTATTGTTCTAATGAAGCAAGGTATATTTCGCATAAATGTTCTTGGATAAAAGCAACATGAAACTGCCAGTAGTAATTTTTAGTAATGTTTGCTCAGTATTTGAATCCCACATTAGAGTTGTTTTAGACTCAAAATAACAGCTGTTTTTTCAATGATACATATAAGAATTATAGCAGTCATCTCATATGTATATTCAGTATAATGCTATAAATGCTGTCCTATTTACGATTAAACTAACAAAAACTTCACGTCTTATATTTTTAATTTCCTTACTTTGAAAGTTTTGTTTCTTCAAAGCAACAATGTACGGAAAACACACAATTGTGCAAAATAATACAATGCTAAAAAACCATTTGTCTCGTGTGAGATCACTTTCACCTGTCCCTTGATACTGTATTTCTATTATTTTAGAGATTTTTTACATACAGTGGTGTGAAAAAGTGTTTGCCCCCTTCCTGATTTCTTATTTTTTTGCACATTTGTCACACTGAATTGTTTCAGATCATCAAACAAATTGAAATATTAGACAAAGATAACACAAGTAAACACAAAATGCAGTTTTTAAATGAAGGTTTTTTTTATTATTAAGGGGGAAAAAAATCCAAACCTACATGGCCCTGTGTGAAAAAGTGATTGCCCCTAAACCTAATAGCTGGTTGGGCCACCCTTGGGTTATGTTATGTTGTTGTGGTTTTTTTTGGATGAGTCGTTCTCTTGGATGAGTCGTCCCTGCGCTCTTGGGGTAATTTTGGTCGGCCGGCCACTCTTGGGAAGGTTTACCACTGTTCCATGTTTTCGCCATTTGTGGATAATGGCTCTCACTGTGGTTCGCTGGAGTCCCAAAGCTTTAGAAATGGCTTCATTACCTTTTCCAGAGTGATAAATCTCAATTACTCCGTTTCTCATTTGTTCCTGAATTTCTTTGAATCACAGCATGATGTCTAGCTTTTGAGGATCTTTTGGTCTACTTCACTTTATCAGGCAGATCCTATTTAAGTGATTTATTGATTGAGAACAGGTGTGGCAGTAATCAGGCCTGGGTGTGGCTAGAGAAATTGAACTCAGCTTTCCAAAGATGTGATAAACCACAGTTGATTTATGTTTTAACGGGGGGCAATCACTTTTTCACACAGGGCCATGTAGGTTTGGATTTTTTTCCCTTTAGTAATAAAAACCTTCATTTAAAAACTGCATTTTGTGTTTACTTGTGTTATCTTTGTCTAATATTTCAATTTGTTTGTTGATCTGAAACATTTCAGTGTGACAAACATGCAAAAAATAAGAAATCAGGAAGGGGGCAAACACTTTTTCACACCACTGTAAGGTTTAGCTTGATTTCATTTCCAGTTCATAGGTCAGCTGGAAGAGTATCAGGTTCTCAAAACCAACCTTAAGTGTGTGCCAATTTTCTCCTCCTCCTACTTCCATAACGTCTAAGGATAACACTTTCGGAAAGCTTGTCCAGACCTTTGCAGTTTTGGGATTTTGTAACGCAATTACGTAATTTGCTGTACGCGATTTGCAAGTAGATGCATATGATTACGGAGCGCTGACAAGTTGTTACTCAGCTGAATACATACAGTATATGCAGAAAAGATGCGCTTTTTGCAGTCAAGCATTTTCAATCATTTGTTTTTGAATAACAGAACAGTAACTAAAGCCAAACGTGGGACACATTTTATTCCTTTTATAAGATCTAAAGGGTTATGTAATGAAAATAGTTTAGGTAGGAAAAGCACGATTTCGCGAGCTGTCTTCAGGAGTACCAGGAAAGTAACAACACACGCTGACAGCAGCTTTTCAAGAACTTCGCCCGGACTGTTGCAGTATAAAGTAACCACTCGAAGTACACACAATGCAACAGGTTCGAATCGTCGTTTTGACAACACAGTTTATGATGAAGCCTTCAGAACTTCTCTCCGTGATCCTGCAAACTTTTGGGCTAACGCGGCACAGCGCATAACCTGGTTCAAACCATGGAGCAATACGTTGGATTATTCTAACCCTCCATTTCCAAAATGGTAAGGAATATTTAGCCACTTCAGAGCTACTGTACATCAGCTTCGCGGCCGTTTCGCTGGTCGCTTGGGGATACAATGTATCTTGGGGGTGCAGAATTTCATATCACAGTTTGAGTCAGTAAACACCAATGCATGCTGAGGTTAAACAAATATACCTTATGTGTATGTCAGTTGCGACTGTGGTATGCATTCTTATTGCGAAATGCGAGGTTAAGTTACTGTAGGTATAAAGTATATGTATAAAAATAGAAACGTTAAATAAGAATGTTCTTTTAATATCATTATTTATATCATGCACAAATTATGATTTGAAGATCTCATCGTGGCAAAGTCTAACTTTATTACCTAATTTCCCTTTTTGAACAAGGCATTTTGTAAAAAGAGCAACTTGTACCGTATTTCGTGGAAGGAAAAAAACAAATGTGTTGCACAATGAGTCACCTATAGAATTACTTCCCAAAAGTGCTCTAAAAGCAAGGGTTTACATCTGAAAACGAGCTTTTCATTCACTCAGGCTTTTTCTCCCAGACATTACTGAAGCTGGGTAACTTTAATCTGATCAGTCCTTCTTCATAAACCGGTTGTGCAAAGATTCGGTGTAATACAGAACACACAATGATGAATAGCACTTCTTTGTCACACTCTATTTGTATCTTTTGATTGTTATTGTTTACCTTAGTTGATATTTTTATTACGTTATTATTTACCTTAGTTTATATTTTATTTTACTTTTCAAATCTCCATAGTTTAATTTCATTACTTACACTGTTTGCAACTAATATTAAGTCTCTTATTGCCCATATGAGTGTAAAAAGTTATTTAAAGGATTAGATGTCTTTTAGTTTATTGAACAAACAGCCAAATCTATTATATCTGCTTGAAGAACAGAGCGAATATTAATCTTCTGAATAGCATGCATATCTTTTCAGATGATTATGCAGAACCTGGGCCAGCTACTCAACATCACTTCAGTACACTTTCCATAACACACATACAATTATAAAAAATATAGTTGAACACGTTACCCATGCATGGAAATCTGGACTGGTGATAAAAGAGTTTAAAATTTGACTATTAAAACCTGATGATGATGATGATGATTATTATTATTATTCAGATACAATATTTTACTGGTGTCAAAAATATGTTTTCAGGGGAGTTTTTACAGTTCTAATATAAATACAGTATATAAGAAAGGTTAAAAACGAGATGAGGTAATGGGACTCATCAAGCCTGGTTGGTTGTTAATAGCTAACTGACCCAAAATGTAATCTGTTTCTAGGAAGAAGACAAGGTTTTGGCTTTGGAAATATAGCTGGATAGCTGGTAACATACGCTCACATACTCTCCGTGTGCCTCCTTTTCTTGGTTTTAAGTGCTCTTCTGTGTAGTTCTCACTCGTGTCTTCTGGTTTGTGATTCACTGTTCATTCTGAAGAACTCCACTGGGTTGACTTTGTCAATATTATTGAGAAATTTGAATGCATGTTTCAGGTCTCCTCATAGGCTTGTCTGCTCCAGGCTAAAAGGATTCAGCTACTTTAGGCTGTCAGCATTACTACTTTAGGCTGTGACACCTGAAGAAGGCTCCACGGCCGAAACGTTGTGTTCTCTTTCTCCTTTTTTTCAGCATGGAATAAACCTATAATTTGTTCCTTTGCAGCCTACGCATGCTGACGCAGCTACCCACCTGAATTACTTGATCTATAGTTTGCTATTGGACAGCTGAATGTATGTATTGGACAATATGTTTCTGTTTTTTGGAGACAAATCTGTAGTCTTACTCAGATAAATGGTAGAGAATGAAGTGCTTTTAAGAAGAGCTTGATTTACAAGATCTGGGAAGTCATTCTTTATGAGTACTTTTCTAGATACTTAATGAAATTTTAAGTTTTAGGTACTTTTCCTAGCACTTGTTCAGAGTGTCACTGTAAACATCTGACTTTAAGTCACTATTGGTTCTGCATTTGAGTTCAATATACTGCTCTGTGATTTTGCTGTTGAAGTTAAGGGCCATGCTGTTAAATGACTTGCAAATCCAGTCATAATTTTCAGTTTCAGGAGGAAAATACTTATTGAAAGAGGTTTGGAGTCTAAGGATGTTGAACATTGTATCACTGTGTTCCTTCACTGTTCTATTATTCTTGATATTTTCTCAGAGGAAGGTGTTCAGGGTGGGAAAGCAACGTAGATGACTGTTTCTATACTTGAGGTGCAGAATTCAAGTTTTCCTTTTGTGCCTTTGAATTTGTCATGAGCACAGAAAAAATATTGCATTCATGCCATGAGAGCCCAAATCATTCATTTCAGTAAATATGTGAAGTATGCAAAAGTTTTCAGCTACATCATATCATTATATTATACCTGCCCCCAACAACACAAAAACTCGCAATGAAGTAGAGCAACAAAAAAAAACAGGTAACAACAACAAAAAAGCAGCACTAAAAAAATCCAAGTACCATTATCATTGTGCGGGCCATCTAAATACCAAACTAATTATATTCATGTAAGAATGAGAATATGATATTTTTGGCCCTTCATCAACACTACAGTAATAAATTAACACCCACTGTGGCTATTTACAAAGATTAGTGTGTCTCTAGTGGCATGCCAAATAAATCTGGAACCCTTTTTTAAGATGGCCTGCAGCAATGATGCAGTCTACAGGACAAATCAAATGTGTGGGTCTCAAAAAACACTTCAGTTTTTACTTGAACAATATGACAGCACATTACCTCAGTTCAAACAGTGTAAACCGTGTGTAAAGGTAATGGAGTATGGAAGCTTACACAAAAGCAAATTTTAATTGACTTCAGTGACAGGCAGAGAGTGGACAAAAGCTTAAGACACTGCAAGGCCTGCTTCTGTATGTTTGTTGCTTCATCAAGTTGAATACAAAAGCTGTACCAAATTTTTAATTCTATTTTAATTATGTCATTAAGGATTTAGCATATTCTCATGTACCATTCAGTGTTATGTTAAATAAGGAAAGCAGGGTCTTCCATCCATTTTTGAATGTTACAGGAATGTTAATATCTTACATGAAGCGTTTCCTTCTGCTTAGCCATTACACCTCAATGGCATAGAACAAGTCACTATATTTGGATTCAATTTCTTTACATAAAAAAGTACAAAACTTTGCACTGCAAGCCACTTGAGCAGATTTTATTTTGCACATTTCACAACAACATTACTTTGTCATGTTTCAAACTGTACTACTACGCAGTGCTTGAAGTTGAATGGTGTAGTTTGGTGCTCGAGGTTACAGGTTGCTCAGCATTTTGCATTTTAGTCTTCCTTTGTACAAGTGCTACCAATTGTTTTTTTTTTTACATTACTGGGATTCCCATCAGTGGTTAAACCTGCCAATTGCAATAACTTCAAATATCGGGGGAAAACAATGTTGTGATTCAAGTTAACGGTATTCATTTTCGTTTAAAAATGCCTGCTACCAATCAATGCTAACAGTATTTCTAAAATAACAAATACAATCCTATGGAAATACTTGTTTCACAAGCTATGGAATCATATCTCATTTTACCCATGAGACATTACATTCTCCATTTGCATAAATGCCGATCTTGGAGATTTCAAGGTACCTAATTATCTCAGATACAGAGGGCTTCACTGTATATTCTTCCATTTTCTTACTGCATTATTCAATACAAGATTGCAAGGGAAGCCAGAACCTAACTTGGCAAGCAAGGGGCACAAGACAGGCTACACCCTGGATACGATGTCAATCCATTGCATCCAGACACAGACACAAACACACACCGGGGGCTGTTTTCCCAGAAGCCAATGAATCTGCCAGTACAGGATGTCTTTATATGACTGTAGGAGGAAACGCCTGAAGAGAACCCATGTGAATACAGGGAGAACATAGAAACTCCACACTGAACCTAGAGCCCCATAGCTGCAAGGCAGCAATGCTAAATATTGTGCCACCATATACATATACAAGTCCCAAAAATCCATAATCCCTCATCCATTTTATATGCAAATCCCTCATTTTGCATTTTACCTCATGCATCCATTCTCCACCCCATCTTCACCTATGGAGCTACCCCTCTGTACAGGGGTCCCAGCCCTCTCATGCTATGGCTAGAGGACTGGGCTTTGGCCATGCAGTTTCTCAATGTACCTAAATACTGAATAAACATCCTGAATCACAGATAATTCTTGGATATAATTATTCCCCGTGAGCTATAAAATGGACGAAAAAGAGCAATACCAGTTTTTCCTTCGCTGCCTCCTACCATCTCCCATCCGTCCTCCTAGGAAATAGCCTAGTAAATCATTCCCTACCAACCCTCCAACAGAGCATCCCAAGAAACCCCATCAGACATGATTATTTAAAGGGTGCAAAGCTACTGTCTGTGGGGCTATGACTAAATGCCTATCCCCACTAAGGGGAGGGGGGGTCAGCAAGGTTTTTGATAGCATCTTCTGCCAAAGCCCAGCAGAGGACAGTCTCCCAGCTTTATGCAACCTAATGAAAGGAGAAAGTCTACTGACCCTAGAGAATGGAATGTGAATCTTAGCAGTGCAGTTTAGGGAAATGTTCAGTGAAAACTGAAACCTATCATTTGAATGCCACTTAATGCCTAATAAAACTACATCTGTGTTTTAGAAAACACTTGAAAATCATTAGAGTGATGTTTCCAATTGTGACAATGGTGCAGCTTCAACTTTTGACAAACAGTTTTGGCTCTCTGCCTGTTACAGTGATCACTAATTAAGTCATTTTCACAACATTTCACAACATTTTGAACTCCTTTTAAACATGAAACAATCCTTAATATGAAATGCAACAATTGTTGAAACAAATGACAAGAAATTAGGTAAGACTTAATCAATACCTTTAAACAGTTTATCTTTGATCAATAGATCTAAATTAACTTTAGTTAAGGTAGGACCTTCAGAGAAAATCCTCTAATTGTAAATATATTAAAAACCAGGTGACGCAGTTGCAATGAGTGATTGAATGCTTTAGGATGTTATTAATTGTATCATAATATTGTTGTGTTCTAAAAGGGCTTCATTTGGTTGGGTATTGTCCTTTACAATAACTTTTTTGGTGCTTCTCTGTTGCACTTTCAAGTTGGAATCATGTAGTTTTCAAAAGTTTTATTATATTAAAGACCAAACTGAAACTCATTTCAGATCACAATAAAATTATAGTTTTGAAATGAAGTTTTCAGCACCCTTTGGGTGGTTATGTGGAACTGGAAACAACATTAGATGATTAGGGAAAGACCTAACCTAGAGGCCAAGGATTACTGATTATGTTGACTGAAGCTTGGATTAAAACAATTTTTTCACCAAATGAGTACAGTGCATATAAATGGTGGTTTTTATATTGACAATAATTTAGCCCCAATGGAATCCAATCATCATGTACTATGTTTGTAATTTACTTTTGGTGAAAGGGTGAAGATTTTGATTTAATCTGGGTATTTATGAACTTGAAATTGCTTTCAGACTTCTGTTATTGCTATTAAGCAGTAGTAGTCAGAACTGGGTGAAAGCAATATATGTTTGTGCTGATTGTTTTCTGAATGAGACTTACAAAGGGACTGACTTGGGTTATTCACTTGTAATGTATTCATTGCAAACAAATATACGAAACCATTTCAGCTCGTAAGAAAGTAATACATACTGAGGTTTCAGGTATTATATGTAACTTAGTCATTTTAACTTGATTGCGTAGTTGTATTTGGATTTAATAAATAAGAAAGTAAATGCATAAACATTTGTTCAAATCATTTTAACTTATGCTAAGAAGTGTATTTAGAACAGCAAACAGTATTGTAAAAACATTAATCCTAGCTGTAGTTCATTAACGTCATGTTTATTATTTTCAGGTTTGTCGGTGGAAAGCTGAATATTTGCTATAATGCTATTGATCGTCATTGTGAAAGTGGACGGGGGGACCAGACTGCTATCATTTATGATAGTCCGGTTACAGGATCAAAACAATTCTTCACCTACAGTGAGGTGCTGAAAGAGGTAAGAATAAATAAATGTGTCAATAAATCTCATATCCCACTGCTTCTTAAATAAGAGCCGTTTGTGTTTCTTCCCAGGTCTCCAGATTAGCCGGAGTTCTGGCGAAGAATGGGGTGAAGAAAGGTGACCTTGTTGTCATATACATGCCCATGATTCCCCAGGCCATGTTCGCCATGCTGGCCTGTGCCAGGATAGGAGCCACGCACAGTCTGATATTTGGTGGATTTGCATCGAAGGAGCTGTCTGTTCGTGTTGACCATGCCAAGGTGAAGTGTTTTGCTTTCTGACAGAGGTGGACCAAATGGCCTCCAAGCGTACTTAACCTTCCTTATGTTCTTCTCACTTTTTCAGACAAGTGTTTGTGGGTGTCTGCCTCTAGCTACCAGGGATATTGTTGAAGCGGTTCTTTGGGATCCTTTAAAAATGTACTATAAAGAACATAAACAAATGATAGCTGTGCTTTGGATATAAATTGTAGTTTAAAGAAGACTTAGCCACTTGTTCTGAATTTTCACACTGCTTTTGGTGTTTACTTAAAACAGTAGGTACTGTAAATGTGGGGCATGTGAAGTTATAATGCTATTATTCACTCCAATGTATTATTTTTATGGATAGTTATTGAAGTCATAATACCAGTTGGAGTGTTATATCTGCATTTTATTTCTAACTGTGCAGCAAGAAAAATCGATTTCACTAGAGTATAACATTTTTGTCTGGGATTAAAGCAAGGCACTGAGGATATTGGCATATCATGGTTTTCTGCAGGTACCATAAGGGTGTTAATTCATTTTAAAACCCTCATGTCTAGAGTTATTTTCTACTGCTTACACTGCGGATGCTTACAGTATTGCAGCAAGACCCGCATAATATGCAAGTTTGAGGGGTTATGGATGTTTTTACGGATGTTTTCTTTAGTGTTAGAGTTATATTGATTGTCTGTAAGTATCTGGTAGATCTTGAAAAAATAACAGCACTGAAATGAAGACAAGGTGCTCTTAGCACCAGTCAAGGTTGTGGAATAGCAGTAGATATGAAAGACTGCTAAAGAAGGACCTATGCAGACTGCCTGAAATATAAGCATTTGTCTCATTACTGTGCAGTAAAAAATATACATAGGAGTTATCGTTCCTGTTAACAATCCTGGTACTGTAAATATGGATAGAACGCGCTTGAACAGAGTGTTAAATGCACCTTGCAAACAGTAGATTAAGAGTTCTCCATTTTCTATATTTCAATGTCTACCTTCATAACCTGAAAAAAACATTTGGAGAACATTTGCCTTAATTTTTCAATATGGCCATGATCAACAAAACTCATATCCCCTGTTGATTAACTGTTAACTGTTGATTAATTATGTTTAATCCATTTTGGAATATACTTGTTTACCTACAAATAAAGGTTTAAATAAATGTCCCTTACTGTGACAGGTGGACTGTTAAAACAGTGTAAAGGTATCTCATATTAGGATGTACTGTATTAGGATGTACTGAAGAGATTGTTTGAAAAGGGAAGGAAAAATAGTCATTGAAATGTACGCATTGATCTGAGCCATTCTTTTACATGGTCAGTACCTTAAGGTGGAAATTTGTCTTGCAATTACTGAAGCCTTATGAATCTTGCAGGGTTTGTTAAATTAATGCCATATCAAGTGTGACTTATTATGGTATATTATGAGTGCAAAATAGAGTAATGTGCTCCATGTCTTTGTGAAGTTCATAAAATGCTATGGAGTGTACTGTAAATGCATAGCAAGTTTAAAAAATATTCAGAAGTAAATTATTTTACAAAATGAAAACTAATCTAGCAGAATAAATTAGTTTTGCATAGCTCTCCTTATTTGTGACCTGAAACTAGGCTAAAGGACTGTTGTTGTTGATAACAAACAAGATGTTTTAAATGAAAAATACCACAAAAATTACTTACCGTGAAAGTAACATTTGACTCGATATATTATGTGCCACTTACACTTTTTTGTAGCCTAAAATGGTGGTAACAGCCTCCTTTGGCATCGAACCTGGGAGAAGAGTGGAATATATCCCTCTGGTTGAGAAAGCACTGGAACTTGGCAAACACAAGCCTGAGAGAGTCCTAATATATAATCGTCCCAACATGGTAAGACCTATTGAATTATTTACCTTGGTATGAAATTTTGTTTCCAAAAATAAATGTACATTTGTCATCTGTTGGATTTATTTCAACCCTTGGAAATGGGAAATTTAGACATGTTTGGGTGTTTTTAATTTTGTTTTTCATTTCAATGGTTAAAATATTCAGAGTGCAGGACAAAAACCTTTACTTTAATGACTGTTTTTAGCAGCTTTTGAAATTGATCGATAGCCTGTTGCTCAGTTCCAACCTGTTGCTTTCGAATGATTCCTGTTCCATATTGGATGTATTGAATGTACTACATCTTGAATGCTATCTAAAGATAGCTTTATTCTCAAATAGTTAGTCATTACTGTCTAGCTTTATGCACAGAAGAATTTTCAACAGTTTCCAGCCTGACATTAATCCTTACTGCAGATAGTCCAGTGTTTTGCTTTATGTAGGAATCTCTCAATGTGCATTATGTAGTAAAATGCAAAGCAGTCACTACAGAATAATTGGAAATATGTGAACTAGCTAATCAGTTTTATATTAGTACATTGTATTTTAGAAAATTGAGGCATATTAAGTGCTTTCTAATTAAGTGAGACATTCTCAAGAAAGGCTTAACATTAACATCATTCTCAGGTTTTGTGTATTACTGAAAACTCCCATGAATTAGGCAGCAATATATTTAAAGTGATACATTAAGATATATTAATGTACAGTTGCAAGAAAATGTTTGGAATGACCTACAGTAATTTCTTTGTTAATTACTCATAAAAATTTGGTCTGATCTTCAACAAAGTCACAATAATAGACAAACACAATCTGCTTAAACTGATAACACAAAAACAATTGTTTTACTTCTTGTCAGTACTGAACATATTGTTTTAACATTTACTGTCTAGGTTGGAAAAAGTATGTAAACCTCTAGGCTAATGACTTCTCCAAAAGCTAATTGGAGTCAGATGTTCCATTCAATGAGATAAAATGGGAGGTGTTGGTTGGAGGTGCCCTGCCCTATAAAAAGGCACACAAAGGTTGGTGACTTGACAGAGTCTACTCTTCTCAAGAAAGAGTTCATGTGAACCATACCCCAATCGACAGAAATATCAGAGGACCTTAGAAGAAGAATTGTAGAGATGCATAAAGCTGGAAAAGCCTACAAAAGCATTTCTAAAGACTGTTACTAGATTTAAAGGGTCTTCATCAATTCACAGCAAGACAAATTGTCTACAAATGGAGGAAATTCAGAACTGTTGCTACTCTCCCTAGGAGTGGGAATCCTGCAAAAATCACGGCAAGAGCGCAGCGTGCAATGCTGTAGGAGGTGAAAAAGAACCCTAAGGCAACAGGAAAGAACCTGCAGAAATCTCTTGAACTTGCCAAAGTCTCTGTTCATGTGTCCACTATAAGAAAAACACAAGAATGGTGTTAATTGAAGGACACCATGGAGGAAACCACTGCTCTCCAAAACGTTTGCAAAAGACCACCTGGATGTTCCACAACGCTTCTGGGACAATGTTCTGTGGACGGATGAGACAAAAGTTGAATGCTCAGGCAGAAAAGCGCAACGCTGTTTGGAGAAAAATAAAGCACTACATACCAAACACCAAAACCTCATCCCAACCGTGAAGCATGGTGGAGGGAGCAACATGGTTTGAGGCTGCTTTGCTGCCTCAGGGCCTGGACAGCTTGCTATCATAGAGGGAACAATGAATTCAAAATTGTATCAATACATTTTTCAGGAGAATGTCAGGGTAGCGGTCCATCACCTGAAGCTTAATAGAAGTTGGGTGATGCAACAAGACAATGGCCTGAAACAAAGGAGTAAATCAACAACAGAATGGCTTAAACAGAAGAAAATTTGTTTTCTGGAATGGCCAAGTCTGAGTCCAGACCTCAACCCAAGTGAGATGCTGTGGCATGACCTGAAGAGAGTTGTTCACACAAGAAATCCCAGCAAATATCACTAAACTGAAGCAGTTTTGAAAGGAGAAATGGTCTAAAATTCCTCCTAACCGTTGTGCAAGTCTCATCAGCAGCTACAGGAAACAAGTGGTGGAGGTTATTGCTGCTAAAGGAGGTTCTACCAGTTACTAAATACAAGGGGTGACATACTTTTTCCAACCTAGACTGTGAATGTTTAAACGATGTGTTCAGTACTGAAGTACAATTGTTTGTGCGTTATTAGTTTAAGCAAATTGTGTTTGTCTATAATTTTTATGAGTAATTAATGCAGAACTCCAGGTCATTCCAAAGGGTTTACAAGCTTTTTCTTGTAACTGTATTTAAAGTGATACACTATGCTAAATACTATTCACATTTAGTGTGTATTCCACAATAAATCTCAATGTCATTTTCATACCTTGCATATTATAAAGCTCCTGAATCTTTCATATAATATGAGAACAAGTGTTAGTTTAGGCCTTCTGTTATACTTTTCCTTGATTGTTTTATGTTTTAGTGCGTTAAGCTTCAATAAACACATTGAGATGTACCTCAAATACTATTGTGGCACAATTCTTACTGAATGAAGCATTAACTATGTGGTGTTTGCAGATCCCATGCAACTGTTTCATGAAGGGCACCAGTATGCTTCAACAGTCTAACTGGGTAGCTTGTTCTAGACACAACAGAAGAGATGTCCCACAGTATTACCCTTTTTGCTGTATCCTGAATTGAGATCACATCTGTCTGGCTTCAGCAAAGAGCCAGCTTTAGCAAAATAACCGTTTGTTACTGGAAAGGGAAGGGGGGAGGCAGATAGTGTAACATTAACAAAGAACATCTGCACTAATCCTTTTGAAGAGAAAACTTATTAAAGGATTGTGTGAGTCTAGAACAAGCTAAAAACTCGATTACCTTTCAGAAATAACTGGACACAATCCTTTATTCAGTCACCTACTAACAGCCAAATGACTGAACTTTTCCAGTGGCCTTTTGTAACATTTCTATATTTTTAATGCAGAGCGGGCAGAGAAGATCATACTTGACTAGACAGAAAAGTTGATAATCCACTCAAACAAAAAGTGTGAATCTCTGCTTTGTTTAAAGTATTTCATATTGCACAGAAATATACCATACAAATTTCATCGCCATTCTGTGAAGCTGGCTCAAGGCCAGACTGAGTTCAGCCTGACATCTGTATTCACTGGTCAATTTCATTGCAAGCCAGTAGGCAATTAAACTGAGTAATGCATTGTAATTCCAATCCATTTGGGTGATCTACTAGCTGGCCTCATGCTAAGAGAGAGAAAATCATTCTAAAACTGCAATGCAAAATATAAAGTAGCTTTACTCTTCTCAGACTCTGACCTTCTTCCATCTGTTTCTGCCATTTGAATTGTTAACACATTCTATTCCATTTTTGCATCTTAAGAAAAAAAGATAACTTACTAAGATAAAAAAGCTATTACAATTTAAGTTACATTCAAGTGTCTGCATCAGGCCTTAAATGCAGTGCTGCCAAAAGCTACGAGATACTATCTTCTGCTGATGTCCGCTTTGTTTTATGTTTAGTATTATATCTGTTGAGGGTGCTCATGTTAATATGGCAATACTCTACATATTCATTTATCTTGTAACTGGAAATATTTTTGCTTTCACAATAACATGCAGCAAAGACAAAAGGACAATGTCCTGGGTAACCATGGAAACTAACAGAAAATGTTTAATTTTTCTTCCTTCTTTTTGAATTTTGTGCTATATTTCATTGCTGACAGTTTTCAAGGGTTTTTAAAAACCTTGGAAGCTGCAGTTGTTTCTTTCATGGAAATCTGAGAAAACTGTGACCAGAAGCTTTAAAGATATGAGATGGAAAACACTCTTTGTAATCCATTACCTAGATATGATGATATTCACCCCATTTGCTGCAGGAAAATTCAATTAATAAATGAATTAACTAATAGGTTCTATGAGATGAAAAATATCTAGAAAGTATCTTCAGCTGGAATTGTTTCTGGAAGTGGCTATAGTTCTTAAAGCCAGCACATAAAGGGTTAGGAATGAAGAGAAAATGCATTAATTAGATATGCTTAATTGCCAACTACAAGTTTGTGATTTGTTAAGAGGCAACAAATTCATACGCTGCACCTCAGAAAGTTCCTCACGTTCTATAATGTCCTCTGCTAAATGAAGTGTACTGTATAGAATGCCATACAATTTTAAGATTTAAGCTGTGACCTAATACACTTTTGGTATCACTAATGAGATACTAGAGCATGTGCTGTGGATTGCTTTCAGTTTTGTCCGCTTGATGACAGAATAAAAGAGAAAAATCATATTAAAAATGCATGCACCTTTGATTTAACTGGGGCATGTTCAGATAATGCAAGCTGAAAAACACCATCACTTTTGTTGTACAGGAGACTGTTTCCATGGCGCCTGATATCAGCCTCAATTGGGATGAAGAGATGGCTGCTGCTAACCCTCATGACTGTGTGCCCGTCTCCTCTGATCACCCACTTTATATTCTCTATACCTCAGGAACCACCGGGACGCCAAAGGTACTTTACAACACTTGGACTCAGTCAGAGCTTCAGGATGTTATTTACCACGAAACAAGATGTATTAATTAGTGACAATGAGAAAAATGGGGTTTGTTTTCTGGTGACAAGAGCCAAAACAAAACATTTTAAAGGTAGAAATTTCTTTCAGCAGAGATTTTGTCTTAATGCCTTACTGAATGGCAACACAGAAACTTTGATAACACCCTTAAATATTGTCATTGTGCCGATTTCTGTTAAATCTAGTAAAATGACTGGGTTTTGCAGAAAAAAAGAGGTATCATATTCTGATATTGCATCCAAATAAGCATAAGCTGTAGCCAAGAACTTTGGGCATAAAAGTACTGGGAGTGTTTATAGTTGACATAAGTAGGGCTCTTCTGCAATTAAATTTCAAAATAATTTAATTAAATAGCAGATAAAATAAGTTAAATATAACTCATATAACTCAGACCTGTAACCACCTGTAAAGACCTGTAAAGGTTTCAGATGCTACATTTTGTATCAAAATGTTTTTCTTTTCTCTAGACTGGCTTGTCTCGTCAACGATAATAAAGGCTAGATGAAATGTAATCTAAAGAGCACAGAAGTCAAGGCACTGTAACAGAGAGGACACATTCACATTTTTGGAGCCCAAAAATAGACTTTGTACATACGTTGCCTGTAATTTGTCAGAGTCAGAACCAGGACTGTCACCTCCAAGGACCCTAAAAATTCTTTCTCACAAACTCTTTACTTCAAAAACTGTAACTTCTCCAAATTTACAAGTCCCACAGTCAGATGGACTATGCTCTTTTTCCTTCTTGTGCAGGGGCAGTGGCAGAGGATCAGCTTTCTTCCTCAGATAACAGATGTTGACTAACCCTGGAAGTCTACACTTCCTGATTTTAAAAAATCACACAACAAATTATCTTCTAGTTGTTAATGACCTTCCCCCCTAATTTTCCACCACTTTTCTGGAGAATTTAGTTCAGGCAAGGGCTTCCATTATGTCTAAGCCTGCATTAATTGATTCTATTAAAGTGGCAGGTGACAATGAGATAAAGTATGTGAAGTTACTGTAGCAGTTACACGTTATAGTTAGATGTTCATCATACACTGATTCCGTAATTTATACATTGCTATATGTTTACTTCCCATCTGGTATTCTAACTCATACTGTCTGTTCTCAAACCTCATTCTGGAATAAAAAATAAAAGTAGTAAAAAATAAAAATGGTAGTTGATAAACTACTTCAGCTTCACCATACAGGTTTACATCACATAATAAAACGTCTAGGTGTCTTTTTGGGTTTGACCAGTTCAGTGAGTAAGTATTGATAACACATAATTGCCTGAGTTTATGTTTTTCAATTATACTGTTGAATTAGTGTCTTTCTCGGTCTTATCTGCTAAGCTATTTGCATGTGATAGACACTTTTCAGTTTGATTCACACAGAAGATAGAAACTCCCAGGAAAACCTCACATAGGATTGGCCAAATTTTCATTGGCTTACAGTATTTGTATCAATGTAGTGTTTAATACTTATGTTTCTGTCAGTTTCAATAGAAATTCTTTTGAGTGATTTCAAAATCTTCAAAGCCTTATAACCTACAGTATTAACATTTTTCAGAACCCAGAAGATCTTCATACTGTTGATCGTGTGAGTTCAGTTATTTTTCTTAGGCATAATAATTAATTTCATATCAATTTAGAATAAAGTTGTGTTACACTTATCCTAACAGGGCATTTAATCAAGGCTAGGCTTTTTTGTGATATTGTTTTGGAGTCTTTAATTGTTTTTGATCCAAAAATATATGACGTTAACCACAAATTGTGTATCAGCTTATTTTGCTTGCTTTTTTAAAATTTTGGAATCTTTATTTTAAACTCAGTTTTGTATATTTGTTTCACATAGTCTGCTCAGCTTGCTGCTACAACCCTTGTACCAGCATGGTACTAGCTTCAGAGGGGTGAAGGCACATGCCTTCCCCAGAAATATGCTTTAGTTCTTAGTATTTTTTATTTCACACTGTGAGGCTCAGAATGTCAGTTGGCAACTAGTGGAGGACTAACATGTCTCTCACTGGTTACACTACAAACCCAGTATACACTGTGCAGTACATGCCTAGGGGTGATTGACCAGTGGTGAGCTCCTTGATGGTGGAAGTTAATCACTTAGTTTATTTAGTGGTCCAGATGCCCGCACAAGCAATTTTTGTTTAAATCATTTTAATGCTGCAATAACTAAAATTGAGTCCTCAGAATGAATATTCTTTTTTTATTTTCATTCATAAAACAATTCTCCTGAAAGACCTATAGAACTGCAGACTATCAGTAACATATTGGCATATAGTCAGTATGATCATGTCTCACAACTGAGTGGTATTTATATGAATATGGATTGGATGATGAATGAATAAAGCCAGTTATGTTACCATTGCACGAACTTGTTCATTCATTATCCAATGCAGAATAATCACAGTACCAATCGTGTTCCAGCACCTCCATTAATATTAATTTACAGGAGCAAAGAACTGTATTGTTCCCTTTTGGATACTGCTATGTAGAACAGCAAATATCAAACAAGTGTATGTATAAAATTGAGTGCGTACAGCAGGACAATCCCGTCTTGAGAATGCTGTTTTCTGAATACCAGAATATTTTCTTTTTATCAAGCAAGGCTGAAAAACTACAGTTTATTTTAATTATGAAAGCAAATAGCTAAAGGGCACCATCCACCATGTTTAAAACCTGAAACAGATCAAATTAATCCTATTATTAAGTCAATTACAGGTTCAGTTGTGTAACTAGGAGTCATAACAATCAGAACAAAAACCAGCAGGTGTTTAGGCCTCCGGGATCAGGAACTGTGTCTAGAGAAGTATTTGCGAAATTTGTAATTAGTGGTCGGATTTGTGATTTATTTTAAATTAGGAGTTAAAAGTAATGTACATTAAGCAAACATTTATAATTTAATGAATTATTCCGATATGTTGACACCATTGTAATTGAAAAGAAAATATGTTCTTCACTTTCCAGATGCAGCTTTTTCTTAACATATTCAGATGTTTCCCCTTAATTTAAAATTCAGCTGTATCTTGCTGTAGTTTAAATGTTTTCAATATTTTAAATAATATCTATATTTTTAATCATTAAATATAAAATAATTTAAACAGATTATTTTAAATTATTTTTTTCAGATTGTTCATTTATTTATTAACTATATAACTAGCCTTTTTCATTATGCCCGATATTGCTGACTGATTTAACCCTGATGTATATCTTGTATTTCATTAATAGACACAAGCACCGTAAAATAGCAGTCATTCCATTTTACGTGAGAAGAATGACTTTCCTTGTGGATGCATGCATTAATTTTGTAGCTTTACCTCTGTATTAATCTCTGCTACGGAAATTTCATTCTCTATATATTAAAGGTGCTTTTGCGATTAAGACAGTGAATTTCTGGCATGTCAGTGTGAAAAGCCATTATGAAAGCCAATGACAGGAAATAAGAAATTATACGTGTGATGAAACACTATAATCAATAAGTGGAGTTGAAGCATGATCTCTTATGGTACGCCTCCTTTACAGTAACTTATCTGATTAAAAGGGAGGTTGATGGCTGGAGCCTTGTGAATACATAAATTAAAAAGAAATGGTTTGTTTCATCATTATCTTTGGTTGAGATGCAAGGCAAGTATCGCTGGGGTGTCTTCCATTAGAATTTTTAATGCCTTTATTCTAAACTGCTCCACGATATGTTTTTGACTCAGCAATCAATGAACACTTACAGACATTATGTGAAATGTAATTTCAGTTCTGCAGATCATTTGTTCTGCACCAGTCTATTTAAATGATTTGAAACAAGTGTAACCTTTGTCTTTATTCTATTTCCTGTCTCGTTTAGTCTGTGTATACAATTAATAAACGTCACAGGAGATTAACGTGTTGTTTGAAGATGATCTGCATTTATATTACTTCCATTTGTCATGCTTATGGGTCTGCTTTAACAAATGGCATCAGAGACATCAACCTCTTCCTTTTTCCAATGAAATACATACTCAGGCTTAGACAATTTCAGAGAAATAACAGTAGAATATGGGTATCTTTGAGTCTTCATTTACTGGCACACTATTTTTAAACTCAAAACTGTAATAGTTCTCTGTACTCTACAGTACCTTGAAATACCTTCCCATTATATTTTTGCATGATGGTCAAAGTCGACTGAGATCAAAATCATGTGTGATCAGAATTAAGGCTAAAACTTCTCATACCTGTGTACAGGAAATAATGAAAAAATGCAGAAGACAAATTAACTTTGCGCTTCAAGAAGCAAAGAGCTCATTAAGATTAGCTATAATCTTAATTATAATTAATTCTAAGAGACTTCTAACAGATGTTAAAGGCGAACTGCAGTCCTAATTTCTCAGACCAGTTTTTAAATCTCAGTAACAAAGGAAATTGACATTATTAATTGACATTAGTAGGCATTTCACTGCAGAAATGTTCCAACATGAACTGTATGCAGAGTGAACAAGTAAGTAATATTTTTTGGCAAACCTGTCTCGAAATTGAAAATATTTCTATTGAATTTAAAAAGATGTATTCACAAGCCTGCTTCTTTACAGTCTCACAGGGCACCATATGTTATTGGAAGTTATTGCCTCATTCTGAAACACATTCCTGGAAATGTTGTATTTTTTGTGATGTAAATTGGAGGTTTTACAGGTTGCTGTGTACATTTTACTTTTATTATGGCTTGAAATGCATCATCAGTCCTGATTCTTCCTAACCCTGAAATATAAAAATAGCATTACAGTTCCCCTTTAAAGATCACTGATCACTTTCACGATTCCTTTTGCATTCTCTATAAATTTACGAAAGCTGGATGCAAGATAACTGTCTTGGAATTTTTTGAGACATTGATTTATATATGATCATAAAATTGATTAGTCATAACAGGAGGGTACCTTCCCATATCTTCTGCACAAGACTGGAAGAAGGTGTCATTGTTGGCCACCAGTCAATGGTCTTACTTTAGGAACATGTACAGTAAACCACTACCACTGAGTAATATAAGCTATGCTCAAAATAAAGTGTTTTGTATATTAAAAGCAGGAAAGTCTGCTTTTTCAGTTTCTTAGGCTCATACTATTTTAACGTAAAGCTCTTTATACCTCCAGTCAGATCTTTCCCATCACCCACTTCAAAGCTATCCAATTCCATTTCTAGATTACTTGCTTCCTTTTCACAACCTCTTATGGACAACTGCACTGTTATCCTTATTTACTTTGTTTTGCAGACTGATTATAACACCTTTCCAAATGCCCCCCCACCCCCACCCCCAAAATAAGTTTTGTGTAGGAAAAATAAAGTAAACTAAAAACGAAAATACCTAAGATGACATTTGGATGTATAAGAAGACTAATATTTTACATTGGGGCGCAATTAGAAAGAAGTTAATAGTGGAGGATGTAGAGCTTAGAAACGGAATCCCCTGTTAATATTGTTTCTTTAAGCATTCGTATTTGACTCCGTTTTAAAGTGAAATCACTCATATCGGAGGTGCTGGGAAGGTGGAATACTATGGGATACTATGGATCTTTGGAATAATATGCTAGTGAAAATGTTACAAGAGATACAGCGCCTGTTTTATTCCTGGAGGTGGATTTGCTATGTGAAGTCCTTATTATACAGTAGGTCCTACCTCTACATCTGAGATGTCTGTGTGTTGAAAGAGTGAGAATGAGTTTTGCTGATTCAGGCCTTCTTTTCAAAATGTTCAGGCACAGTTTGTGAGAGGTATAAAAAGTGTATCACAGAAAAGGGAATGCAAGGAATTAACCTTTGGAACTTGAAACGGTTTCCTTTTCCTCTTTGTGTTTATGGGCATTTAGGTTTTTATCATTTTTAAACTAATAACAAACAGTCTGTGGCAGGCAGCAAGAACAAGAACCATTTACTTTCAATACATTTATAACATCAGACTTGGATGTAAAACTAAGTTTATTCCTCAGTATATGGATATGTATTTGTTTTTTACACAATTGTGGAAGTTATGTAAATAAATAATCTGTTATGTGGAAGTTATGTAAATAAATAATCTGATTTTGAAATATCAACATACAATACAATGAGCTGCTCAATGTCCTTTATTTAAAATAGAAGTAGGAATACAACATACAATTTAATACATATTACAATAATAGGGATTTTAAAATAAATTGTGTGTTTCTGTAGAATAAATAAATTGTGAGTTAAATAAATTATTGTTGTTGCTGACATGAACTGTACCAGACATATTTCAGTAGGGTCATAAATTCATTGTAATAGATACTGTACATCTGTATTAGGAGTCTGTTTCCTTGACCTGAATAATAATAAAGAAAGCATACTTTATATATAATGGTAAATTTTGAGCACAGCTGCAAATGTAAAAAATATACAAAGGAAACAGAACTGAAATATACTGTACTTAGTTCTGTAATTTATTCTCTGTTCCTTTCCAGGATAGTTTTTTGGGAAAAAAATAAATCTGTATGTATCTACTTTGTAAATAAATAATGTTGTACTGTACGTCATACTGTAGTCTCTTAATCAATTCAAGGCATGATATACTGCTCACTATAAAAACTATTATATTTTGTTTGCAATTAATCATTAAGCCCTTCTTGTTATTTATAGACTCTTTTTATTTCATGTTTAATGAATTCTAAACTAAAATAAATACAATTTCTTTTCTCTCTCTAGGGAGTGGTCAGAGATACTGGAGGTTGTGCTGTAATGTTAAATTGGACAATGGCAAGTGTGTATGGTCTCAGTCCTGGAGAGGTATCCCTATTTCTAGCTGCGTTTAATCTTTTCTTTAAATTAAAGGATCTTTCATCATTGTCATCTGCTATGTGTTCTTTTATGTTCAGGTGTGGTGGGCAGCATCTGATCTAGGCTGGGTGGTTGGTCACTCCTATATCTGTTATGGACCATTACTCCATGGCAACACCACAGTTCTCTATGAGGTAAGTTACTGCAAATAAATAAGTACCGCTCAGAAATATTCCAATAGTTAATGCCCTGAAGGCTTTTAGTAAAGGGCCTTCAAGCAGTAAGTATTTCATCTTGAAAGGCATTTATTCTGAGTGAGTAAAAGTAATTAAAACAGGTCTGTATGTGGATCTTGCCTTGTACAGTATATACTGTATAACACAGCATTTAGTAGGTCAGAGCCTTTCATCTCACAGTCCTTCTATTCCTCTCCAGTCTAACTTCAACCAGCCCATCAGTAATAACCATAACAACTAAAATGTTTACATAAAAGGAGTACAGTATATTTGATTGTCACAAATGGTTAATCAATCACTATGGTAAAGACTGTGATTCTAGAAAAAAACAAATATATTATAACTCAATGATTTAAATATCTAAAATCTTATCTTAACTCAATGATTTAAATATCTAGAATCAATGATTTAAATATCCAGAAGAAAGTTCATGTTGGACAGAAATACCAGTAAATCAATTTGGTATTTGTGCCACTATTTGTGTTCTGAGTTTGGGCTCTTCAAATGCCTCAAATGACCCACAATTGACCATGAGTAAAGGCGGCTTACAGTATATTCCAGCATTTGATTCTGATCAAGTATTAATATAATTAACAAGAAACAATTTGGGGGTGTATAATAGATCAAACAGAAAATCTGCTGTTGTCGAGTTCAGAACACATCAATGACTGTTCACCATAGCCAAATAATTGCTATGTGTCGTTTTGACTATATATCAATGAAGATATCTTCAACTGTATCCATAGAAACAGAAGTCACAGATATGTTTCAAGTGAAAATGCCAGTATTATTTATATGGCCAATGAATTGCTTTGTTCATTCCTGATTTTTGTAAAGCTGTAAGCTTTAAAAAAGAAAAATACTTTTCTCACAGGGAGATTTTAGTTATGTCTCAGCTATGCAATGCATTGTAGGTGTTTAATTCCAAAGTACAGTTCATTTTTTGTTGTGCTTATTTCTGTATAAGTGTGTTGTATACTAACTAGCGGCATACAAATAAAAAAAACAGTAGAGGTACCAACCTGTTTAAAACCGCTCTTCTTTTTGCCTTTAGAACACTATGTACAAGGTCTCAGAAACTGTAACTCAGAAAGGTTATTGCATTTTCGTCTCAGTTGTGTTCTATTAAAATCTCTCCCCCTTGCTCTCACAATATAAATAGATGTTTGTATATTGCGTAGAAGTGTTCTCTAATTTTACACATTCTGCCCTAGACAGTGACGAATTGATGTATGGATTCATTGGTAACTAGAGATTTCAAAGCCTTGCCTATTTTCATTCATTTTTTGTAATACAGGAAAACGCTAACATTCTCGTTCTTGAATCAAATTGCCTTCACGCTTTACTTGACTTCATATTTATTAGTCATGCAACCCTTTGGGTGGCGATGTAAATGTTCCTGCATAACAAATAACTGCAGAAATTGGTGGTATGTTTGCTGAAGCTAAACATGGCCTATCTGTATAGATCATATTTCTGTTTCTGGTATAAACAATGTGTCATGTATCAGTCATCTGCCAGTTAAAAATTTGAAGTTTTACAAAATCAGATTTCAGTGCTTTCTTATAAAATCCTTGTTTCATTTTAAAGACTGGCTTCTAGATACAGTTTCATCTCATTACCTTCAATGCTCTCGTTCACATCTGGAAACACATGCATAACTGGTCTTTCATGTTTGTTTGGGCTTTGAACGTATAATGGTTGTATTTTGGGCAAGGACTATAATTTGTGGAGAGCTTTTGGAAGGAAATTTGACACCTCTTTCACAAGACCTTTTTTTCAGATATCAAAGTTCACAGTCAACCTCCTTTGGTGTACAAAAGTTACTGGTAACGTCCAGACTGTCTCTTAACTCAACATCCTTTTAATCCTAGTGGACATTATTCCAGATGATATCACAATAACCAGACTGTGACAGCCACTGTCAGTTCAAAAAGCCACAGCTTCAGGATGTTGGTGGTTTGATGTGCTACATCTGTGGATGGTTGTTTGTAAACAGCCCTGACTCCACTGGAGAGACTGGGGTCCTCTCACACAGACTGTAGAGGGAGGAGGAAAAGCTGCTTCTTTTTGCTTTGTGTCTTGGCGGAGAATTTTCCCAACCCACCTCATGTGTTGTTGTGTGTGTGCTCTCTAGGGACGTAACAGAGGCAGGGCAGCTGGGTAGCTGGTCCCAACATCACTGGGGTGCAGGGAAGTGGGTTTGTGTGTTGCTCCAGCGCATGTGTTGCTGTCAGCCTGTAAATTCTTTGGAGGCATAAAAGATACAATAGAATTAGTCCCTGACATCCACCGGGGCTCTGAGGAAGAACACGGTGATTGCAGATGTTCTGCAGCAGAGGCTTCTGGGTGCGATCTCCAGAAATGTATGTGAGTGTGGAAAAAGAGCATGGCAGTATGGATGACGTGGCAGTGAAGCGCCTGGGATGTTGTCAGCCTTTGAGTGCTGTGGAGGCATAAATAGACATGGCTGGAAGGGGCCCATGCTGTCCACTGTGGCTCTGAGAGAGCCCAGTAATCCCAGATTGTAAGGGAACCAGTAAAGGTTTATTCAATGCTGAAAAGAAAAGAGACAAAATGTTTCGGCTGTAGAGTCTTCTTCAGGTGCCTGAAGGAGGGACTCTCTATGTCCCTTTTCTTCTCAACATTAATTCTTCTCAACATACTAATTCTTGTTTGCCAGCAGCCATATCACCCTGCAACTCACAACTGGCAACCCACTGAAGCTAAGCAGGTGTGAGCCTGGTCAGTACCTGGATGGGAGACCTCCTGGGAAAAACTAAGGTTGCTGCTGGAAGATGTGTTAGTGGGGCCAGCAGGGGGCGCTCACCCTGCAGTCCATGTGGGTCCTAATGCCCCAGCATAGTGATGGGGACACTATACTGTAAACAGGCGATGTAAAATTGAGGTCCTGACTCTCTGTGGTCATTAAAAATCCCAGGGCGTTTCTCGAAAAGAGTAGGGGTGTAACCCTGGTATCCTGGCCAAATTTCCCATTGGCCCTTACCAATCATGGCCTCCTAATAATCCCCACTCTGCTCTCCTCCCCACTGATAGCTGATGTGTGGTGAGCGTTCTGGCGCACTATGGCTGCCGTCGCATCATCCAGGTGTATGCTGCACATCTGTGGTGGTGAGTGTCCAGAAAAGCGTGAAGTGGAGTGTCCAGAAAAGCGCTATATAAGTGTAAGCAATTATTATATTATTATTATTATCAACATGGAACAACCTTTTCTTGTTCCTGACACAGCTACCTACTTGAACTTCTTCATCCCAGATTTTAGTCGGCTCAGGTTGCAGGCTGCATTTACCAGCATTCTGCAGGGCTGAGCAGTGGACCAGTTGCGGCCTGCAGAAATTCGTGAGAGTGTGAGAGAAGACAGTAGGTTATGGACGTTCACAGTCTTCCCCAGAAGGGAAGCATCGAATGAGAGCCAGAAGTTAAGTGAGGTCCTGATCAAAGGGTGAGTGCCAGACAATGGTGAGAGGATATGCTGGTGGGGTCTGTGATTGGACACCATGCAGAGCCAGAAGTGTGCAGTGGTATGTTGGACTGCAGTGTGTATTATGCCTGCTGATTTGTTCCGGGTGAGTGGAAAAAAGGTGAGAAGGTGAACTGTGGTGATTGCTGTGAATTAAGATAAGAGAAAGCATAATAAGTGACCGAACAGTGGTGACTGAGCTTCAAGTGCTACTCAGTACTGAACCTGAAGCCATGGGATCAGAGAGCGGGACGTTGAACTGTGAGGAACCCCAGCTGTACCCTAAGAGGAGCAGGTGGTGCCCATCTCTTCCTGGCTCTCTGACAGCGCAGACTGTTTGTGGACGCAGGCTGTCCAGATATGAGAGAAAGAAGCGTCAGCAGCTGCAGGTGATTTGGGTTTTAAAAGAAAAATGAGAAAGATAGCGAGTGAATTCTTTTTGGGGGATTTGGAAGTGAAAAATGAAGTAAAAGTTGTAGGTACATAAAGATCATGTACAGACAGGCCCACAACGAGCTCAGCCAGTGGGTTGGGTCCCGTTCTGGTATACAGACATGAATTGAACACGTTGTTTCTATAGAAGATTATCGCCCTCTGGATTTGTACTCCTGTCTCATACGCACATTAAAATTACCATTTCTATTTGGTATAAATATACATGAAGCACTAAGTGCTAAATAGCCTCTTGATAACAGGATGTAAGTCTTATAATCCAGGGTATCTGGTATGACATCTCCTTACCAGGCTCCTTGTACACTACGGACCCTATTGTACACCTGTGTTAACCCAGAGCCTTGTTGTTTTCTTTTTAAATGGAAATACTTTGCCTGTTTCTCCAATGCACAGTAGGTTGAGGAGATCATGCAGTTCTGGAAACATTACAACTAAAAAGTGCACTGCATGTGTTATGTCACTTTTTATAGTTGGAAGGTTTTTCTCTCTTTACTGCAATAATCTCCTTTTGCTCCTGTTTTTGTTCTTGCTTATTTAAATGTCATCCACTATTAATCAATATATTATTTTTTATAATAATACAACTCAATTTTAAACATAATATTTCAATCCATGGATTGTGAGCACAGGCTGTCCTTTTATGTAGGTAAATATGATTTGTGGAGCTCTCAGTTTCTGTGCTACAGTAATGGAGAAACCTAGTGTATATAGCATGACACTGGCATGATTAGTTTGAATTTGGTAAGCTACATTATTTTAAGATTAGCTCTATCCATTTTAGAAAATAAGATGTAAAATGGCATTTAAAAGCAAACACTGCCATAATAGTCTAGATACCAAAACATAAAAAATGGGTGAGCACAGTTTGAAAGAAAAACACATTCTTCAGACTCTTTCAGTTTACAAGTAAAAAAATAGTAAACCAGGAAATTGTTAAAACCTCATTCACTTGGGACAAGAATTCATCACATTAGCAAGTGGTCTGAGAATCTATATATGTATGTTGATGAAATTGAGTTTTTAT